GCGTTACAGCGCTGCTGCCCTGTGTTAAAGATTTCCCATGGCCATAGCAAAATGAGAGCAAACCAGCAGCCTCCAGCTAAGGCCAGTCACTATGGAGAAGTGAGGAAATGTTTGAGAGCGGAACTGAGGTTTTGCTTTCTTGCAGTTTTTTGTTGCTTGCTTGTTCTTATTTCTTTTATAAAGCAAATATTTTTACATAATGTTTGCCTGAAAGTGCATTTTTTATTTTTAATCTGATCAACCATTTTTCACAACTCATCTGTTGACATGTTAGCTTCTAACGCATTCTTTTGAGTCATGATAGCGTGTGTCTTTCCATGCTATGGTATCAGTAGGGGTCAAACTTTTAGTGTCCTCACATGCACGAGAAACAGTAGTGATGTTACACTAATAGTAATTGATTTGAATAGTAAAATAATACTGGATGCAAAAAATAGTTCTTGATTGTGCTATATTATAGCTGTTCCATCCAACAAAGGACCATTAATCCTGAAAGCTAATCCTATTACAGATCTTGGTGACAGCCATTACTTGAGCTGTTATGGTTTTCAGATACTTTTTGTTCAAAGAAGGAAATTTACTATCCTGCAAAAGCTAAAATAAGGCCAGTGACATTAAATTTAAGTGGGACAGTCATATAAGCTCTGCAGCCCACCTGAAAGTCTGAAGGCCCTGGGGATGACAAGTCACTATGCTTAAATAGGTTTCTAGATGTGAAGAATTAGGACAAGGCTTTGTTGTGGGGTAGTTTATTGTGTATTGACGTTGTGAGGTCTAGAGCATTACAGAATGTGTGGAACTGGCTTCACCACTGGGTGAGTCTGTGACTCACTACAAGCAGAGACTACACCAGCAACCCTAAATCAGAGCTGGCTCTGAAGGAATTGTCTGGCCAGCCACGCTTGCTTGCCCTTTCAGTGAGCTGTTTTCCTTACTCCTGTTGCTAGACTTATACCCATACTTGTGACTGCAGTAACGGCCAACCTGAGAGACCCACGCTGGACTGAATGTGCTTCAGGTGACCACAGAATCATTATCATTAAGGTTGGAAAAGATCTCTAAGGTCATCAAGTCCAACCATCAGCCCAACACTACCATGACCACTAAACCATGCCCTGAAGTACCATGTCCACACATTTTTTTTAACACCTCCAGGGATGGTGATTCCACCACCGCTCTGGGCAGCCTGTTCCAATATGTCACCACTCTTTCAGTAAAGAAATTCTTCCTAATATTCAATCTAAACTTCCCCTGGCACAACTGAAGCCTATTTCCTTTCATCCTATCACTTGTTACTTGGGAGAAGAGACCAACACCCACCTCACTACAGCCTGCTTTCAGGGAGTTGTAGAGAGCACTGAGGTCTCCCCTCAGCCTCCTCTTCTGCAGAGTAAACAACCCCAGTTCCCTCAGCAAATCCTCATAACACAGGTTCCCCAGACCCTTCACCATGATGGACAATGGCTCGTCCTGTACCCTTCTACCATCCATCAACAGGACTTGGAAGACCTTGCCCCTCTCCCTTTGTGGGAGAGTCATAAGAAACAGGTAGCATCAACTGCTGTCCTTTTCATAGAAGAGGGATAGCACGCTCTCCCGTTTTTAGTGGGGATTATTTTTTTTTTTAATCTAGTTGGATTTCTTGAATGGTTTATTAATGTAGCTTTTAATAAATCATTTAGGATGTAATTTGGAAAGAAATGGATGTGTTGGTGAAGAGTGCTATAAAATTTACATTGCCAATTATTTAGGAAAACCTGCGTAATTTAATGTGATCGTGCCAAAATTCACGATGATGAAGTGTGATGGTATAGGGGGTTACAAGGCTTTTATGGCCATGTTTTTACAATCATTGCATTATTTACATGGGTCTTTCCAAACCTGTGGCTGTAAAAATAGGAGGCAAGCCTTACTGTCACATGCTTTATATATGCCACTTGTTTTCAATTTTTATTCTTCCTCTGCTCTTTTTTGGTTTTAAGATATGGTATTCATTGTGGAAACACTTAGGTTATTAGTTGGTTAAAGTTTAAATCCTAAAGTATTTTGTAATAGGTCCATATTAGTAATTGAAAGTGAAACACAATTGTGTACCAGCTTACATGATAGCTACTAGGGCTACATATCTGGAGTAGAAATTAGGGAGGGTCTTAGATGTTCCTGGGTGCTGTTTTCTCAGCACATCCAAGTTGGCTGCTACCAGGAAGGACAGTGAACATTTTATAATTTCTTAAGAGTCAGAGACTATGGGCATAATAATCCATATATGTACATTTAAATACATCTTGCCTTGCTGCTTGTCTGGCTGCAGGAATAAAAACAAGTACATGATCTTCAAATTCAAGATTATTATTTGTATAACTGCAGCGCATATAGTAAACCAGTCTCCAAGACTGTTACTAAGAGCTGGACGAAAACTACACAAGTATGTTAAAATGTACTCCTAGCAGCAGTGTTCACTGAAACTACATGTACATCTATGCCCCCTTTTTAAATCAATAAGGTTGCTTCCTGGTCTGTAAAACTTGGATTCCATCAAGCAGCCAAAAAAAAAAAAAATGGCAGTGTTTCATGCTGCATCTCTTGTTGAGTTACAAACCCCCAAACGCTCCAAGCCAGTTTTGGGTACCCAAGGCATTTTGTAGAGGCTTAGCAGACAGCTATTGTTACATGATTTGGAAAGGGTTTTTTTGATCTCTCCTAGTTTTTGTGCCTGTTTCTGTTTCATTTTCTCTGGGGTGGGAGGAGTTCCTAATTGTTACTTTTAAGTGTCCGCTCCGTCAAAATATTTATTAGAGTGAGTTTTAAATCCTCCAAATAGTAACTTAATTTCCCAATGTGGATTAAAAATATGTCTGTCCTAGAAGTTGAAATAAATGTTGAGACCTTTATGTTCCTGATAGGACACTAGAAAAAGAGTAAGTGATGGGAAACAAAGATGCAGGTAACAAGAAGTTGTTGTATGACCTTAAGGAAAGGGAAGATGTAACTTTGTGAGCTTAGATGCTCTAAATTTAGATATTTCTAGAAGGTGTGTTAGGGGATCTGGTATTCTATTAACTCTGAATTTATCGGGTTTAGTAATATTTCAGTCTTTGCAGCACTGAGGGCTGAAGAAACCTATTTCTCACATGCAGTAAATACTAATAGCTGGTGGTCATTTCTAAGAACAGATTATTGATATGTGTATTTGGGTATGAGCATGTCTTACTGAGTGCAGATAAAAGAAACAGAAAGAAGGAAGCTATTTGAGTAACTGAAATAATATACAGTTCTTACAAAGGAAAATTTAAAGAGTAAGAATTCACAGTAATTTAGAAAAGGCAGCTTCAGACTCGAAAGGAGATTTGCTGGGCAAAAACAGAAAGTGTGGTTTCGGCAAGTGAAACTTTTACAACAGAACTGTTATTGACAACTGTGCCACATTGATCAAATTTGATACCATTTCACAGCAAGTCTCATGCTTCTAGCCCCAAAGTGCAGGAAATACTTATGCAACCTCTGAGATGTTTGTACAGCTGTGATAATATTATCTATAATGTAAAAACAAGAACTATTTTTTCCCCACATCTAAGAAAAAAAATGCACTGTTAAACAATCGCTCAGATACAAACCATGAACTTTTATGTAATTCTTAGTAGCTACTGCAGGCAGAAATGGATCTTGAAGAAAATTAGAGGTAGAGAGGTAATGCCATAGATTTATAACATGAAAACATTATAAATCATTGTCATTTGGAGGATTATGATTATTTCACTGGTCTGAACAGGAATTGAAAAACTCTAGCTTTCTGCATATGATATAATCATAGAATTGTTTAAATTGGAAAAGACCTTTAAGATCATCGAGTCCAACCATTAACTGAACTCTACCAAGTCCACTGCTAGTCCATGTCCCTAAAAACCAATTCTACACAACTTTTAAACACATCCAGAAATGGTGATCCAGCCACTTTCCTAGGCAGCCTGTTCCAGTCCTTGACAACCCTTTCAGTGAAGAAATTTTTCTTAATTGCCAACCTAAACCTCCCCTGATGCAACTTGAGGTCATTTCCTCTTGTCCTATCAGTTGTTACTTGTAAGAAGAGACCAGCACCTACCTCGCTACAATCTCCTTTCAGGTAGTGGTAGAGAGCAATAACATCTCCCCTCAGCCTCCTTTTCTAATGGAAGGCAGTAGCTTGTCACCAGGGGAATTTGAACAATGATACAATAGACATTTAGGCAGAGATGAAAGAACCAAAGGTGCAGTCTCACCCTTTCATGGGTAATTGCATTGAATCCCAATGTTGGTTTTATCCTCATTTGTTCTGTAACCCGACCTATTCCGAACAAAGGTGAGAATAGAGAGAGGGAGTAAGTCAAGAGTACATAAGTAACTGCCTCTGTTCCTCACAGAAAGGTCCCCCAGTTTCCTTGAGAGATTCCAAAATGACTTTTTTTTTTTTTCCTCACAATCCCTTGAGATACACTGGTTGCTAAAACAGAGGAGTTGGTTCAACTTGCACTACCCAGCTGGCCCGGCAAATCGCTGATGTGTAGTAAACATGTACAAGAGGAACGTGTCCTTGTTCCTTGCAAGCAAGCCATGTGCTTTGTTGCTTACAACAATGCATTGAAGAGCTCGTGGGAATCAGCCTGAATAAGAGATGGACTTGCACTTCCAGTTCCCTGAACTACTGTGAAAATTCTGCTCACCCATGCCTCAAACCTAATGCAAACAGAAATCAAGGGTATTTTTGATTTTCGTGGTGGGGGTGTCAAACACATTTATTGTACTCAGTACAAGAACTATCTTTTTGCATTCTAACACACAACCAGATGTTTTCTATTCTCTTATATGTCATGAGTGTTTATACATCATTTATAAACTTTAGCCTGAATTGACTTTAAAAGAAATGTTTCATTGACTAGTTCATTGTACAGATCAACTTTCACAAGGAGCAATGACATTGCTACTGTTTATGAATGTCTTTCTTCCTGGTCTGCTCTGTTTTATAGTGTCTTTAGCCTCTAGCACTGTTGGTTTGGCTGGGCAGGTCGTCCACACAGAAACCACAGAAGTAGTGCTGACAGCTGACCCCATAGTAGGGTTTGGGATACAGCTCCAGGGTAGCGTGTTTGCTACTGAGACCTTGTCTTCTCCACCTCTCATTTCCTATATTGAGTCTGACAGTCCGGCGGAAAGGTGAGGTTCTTTCAGTGGACTGCTAAGCATGTTTTGGTGAGCGTTCCTCGGGGTACTTTGGGCTTGTTGCTTTCGATTTGTAATAAATTGCAGGGCCTTGCTCCATGGAAGTGTGGCAAGTAATAAACTGTCTATTCTGACAATGATGTTTCATATGCTTGATCAACTGTAATAAGAATGACAAGCACCAGTGTTTTTGTCATCCAGAGTCCTCCAGCAGGAGACTGGAAGCTATATGCATACAAAAGGAGGAAAAAAAAAAAAAAAAACCAAAACAAAAAAACAACCGTAACATCACTGACATCAAAAACCAGAGATAATTCAGTTTGCCATGGCAGGAGTCCATGTCCAGGTCTGTTCAGTTTTGGTACAGAACCAGATCTTGGGGAATACCAGAGTTTTGACTTACTAATGATTTAATTGGAGCACTTCAATTGCATTTTTATGCTTATGTATGCCTTTAATTGTGGCATAAGAACAATACTAGTTGCACAGGCAAATATTAGTCACCACTGCAGAGCCACAACAGCTGTAGCCCAGGGTCAGAGGCAGAGGGGATGTCCGTAGGTGGGGTGAAGGTGTGAAGTCTGCGCCCCTTTTCCTAGGTCCATCACCTCGAGAACACAACCCATGGAGGGAGCACTTGGTAGTGTCTTGGTGCAAAGGGGCAGCAGCAGCTTCTCTCCCTCTCTGTGTCTGGGCAGCCTGCTGAGCTGCTGTGCCACACTTTTCCTTCAAGGTTAGGTTGAATGTGTTTGATATCACTGGTTCTGGTAACGTGCACATCTGATGATTGTTTTGTGTCATTGTGTACCAAGGTGTGGGGTGCTGCAAATAGGAGACAGAATAGTAGCAATAAACGGTATCCCGACGGAAGACAGCACATTTGATGAGGCCAATCAACTGCTCAGAGACTCCTCTATCACCAACAAGGTCACTTTGGAAATAGAATTTGATGTTGCAGGTATGGATGTACTGTTATTCTGTCTTGCAACAGAAGTGAAGAAATAAATCCCAAGTGCATTGCAAATGTTAGGGAAGGCAGAGACTTTCTTCTCACATACACACCATTCAGATTTCGAGTAACTTATTTGAAATGTGTGTCTTTTTGTACAGCTTTCTCATTTCACCTTGCCCTGCAGCATGTTTCAGAATGCAAATAGAAATGACAAGTCCTGTGGTAAGATCCGGTGACAGTCCCTCCTCTGAGTTATTTCTGGACATTTTTCTGCCCTGAGATAGAAATATTCTGCTAAGCAGAGACAATCCTTTATAGGCCATCTAATGAAATGTTCTACTAGACAGAAAAGTATTGTGAAAGGATGGATAAGCAGAAAACTCTGAAAAGTTGGGAGTTTCACATACAGTGTCTCAAAATAACAATCTAAATAAAATAATAGTAACTGAATTAATTAAAGACATAAAAATAACTGTTAGTGTTGATGGTGAGTCTTTATTATTAATAATGGCTTTCCTTTCTTCTGTAATATGTTTAAGCATACACAATACAGAATAAAATCACGAATTGTGCAAATCAAACAAATACACATTGTGTATTTGCACTATCCTACTATGTAAACAGAAAAACCTTTTCAGATTTCTGTGTTCATCAGACAGTAGTTCCTTTGAAGTCATGACAATGTTTGATGTGCTGTATTTTGCCTAGTGTGATTATTGTTAATAGTATTATAAATTGTGATGTCAAAAGCAGGCTGGCAGTTGCTAGAGTAATTCTGTATAATCTTTTAGTATGCACGCATCTAGTATAATGTTTTAAAAAAAGGCAAATACAGTATGTATACATGCATGTACACAATACACTTATAGGCATAGGAAATTAAACATTTAAAAATAAGAAACTAAACAATGAGAAAGTAATTTAAACACACCTGAAGTCACGTGTATTTCAGTGCCTAGACTTGTTCATGCTCCACCCATTTGCTTCATGACAAAAGACATACTCGTGGTTAGACTCCTCTGCCACATGTAATGTCTGTATGTTTCTGTAGCTGTAATTTCAGTTGCTTCTTTTGAAGCCAAGGCCCAGACTTTTGCTAGCAGTGATGCCCGAAGTCAGGATTCAGATACAGTGCTGTATGTCCAAGTGCTTTTTTGCCTCAGTCAGCTCCAAGCGCTTATCCGTTAGTGATGTTTTGATTCCTTTTCTTTCCAGTAGATGTAAAATCCATGGCAGTTAACTTAGCAGACAGTTTAAAAAGTGTTAGACCTACAACAACAAAGGCCTGAAATCCTTAAGACTTGATCTTCTGTCCTTTTAATTAAAAGTTATCTGCCAGCACTAGAATTTTTCACCTGTGCTCGCAGAACTTGCATATGCGCTAAAAACCTGCAGTCTCAGCTGGCTGCTGGCCTTTGCAATCTCCATAAATTCAGTTAAACCTTAAAAAAAAATTGAGTTACCGTGAAATTACCAATAGAGGCATAAATCATACTTCATATGTCCTACTTCCTTCACTTCAGCAGTTGTGTTTCATCCATGGCTTGTGATGCTGTCGTGACTTGATCAACCTACACGTGTAGTTCCATGCATTTGGAATTGCTGTGCCTTATAAATTATCTAACGTATTAAATATTTTTTTTTTATAGAATCAGTTATACCGAGCAGTGGAACTTTTCATGTAAAGCTACCAAAGAAGCATAACGTGGAACTTGGCATCACCATAAGTTGTAAGTGAAAGTGCTTATTTTTAAGACCATGTTTATGGGATTATCTGCAGGTAGTAGGTCCTGTAGCTATAGACTCATGTTTGGTTTGATTTCAACTTCTTTTTCCCTTTTGTAGAAACAGCTGATTAGCAGTGCTCTGTCTCTGATGAAGTACCTTTCTGTAACAGATTTATACTCCCCCTCTCATAGCTAAAGAAGCCAGACATTTGCCAGGCATAAAGCTTGGCCTGTTCTTTCTTGCGTAGCACATATTTAACTTCCATTAAAATAATTTTTAAAAAGAAGCCAGTAGAAGTAGGCCCATGCAAAAGTACTTCATAGCTGGAAAGTTTAAAGCAAAGTCTGTCGTGGTCTCTCACAGGCTCTTCAACAGAACCCCTCTGAATGCAAGGGTTCCCACAGGGATGAGGTTCCCATATGTGGGGCTGTTTTCTGCTTTGGAACCCAGAGTCTGAAGATACATCCTCAATCTGTAAAAGCAGTGGGCAGGCCTGAATGTGTAGGTCACATAGTGAAATCCCCTTTCACTAGGGATTTCAGAAGTTGCTACAGAAGGTAACAAGGGCGTGTGTCAGTCTGTTTCTCAAAAGGTATTTGTTACTGTTGTCTGAAATCAGTGTTTCCTTGTTTACTTATTTTGGGGGCAGACAGTAAACACTGTGTTAGGGCTAGATTTTGACCAGGTCAGCTCCAGCATACCAAGTTCAGTCCCTGAAGGAAGGAAGAGCAATTCGTATCAAAGTTAATGGGCTTGTGTTTAAAGTACTTATTGACAGTGCAGCGTCTGGTCTCACCAGACGTAACATTCCTTTACAACTGTGGCCTTTCTTAGCCTATTTGTCTTCCTTGGGAATTATTTGTGCTTCTTGAGGGAAGATTGTGCTGTGACTGATATTCTCAAAGCTTTCACCAGCACCATGGAATAAGGTTAATCAAAATTGCAGCAGGGAACTCAGTGCTAAGTATTACATATGAGGACCAAGTGGGAAACACTGCAGGCCTGTTTGCTTGTGTTGCACACTTGAACGAGTACTGTCAGACTCTGTACAATGTGATGTGGTGCTTGAAGCAAAATCATAGGTCTGTATGTATTTGTGCAAAAGAAAATAGTGAGAAATGAGAAAACTGAGATAGGTTGTTCTATTTCAATGTTACTCTTAGGATTGGCAATTATTTGTAGGATTATTGTAAAAATACGATCTTCCTAGTTATTTGACTTGTCCTGCTTTTTGGAATTCAATCATCTTATACTTTTTTCTGTCTGTAAGAGTAAACTTTGAATGGAAAGCTAATATTCTTGGGGTTTAGTAGTCCTCTTCCAAACTTTGTGTACCTTCCTGACTTGGAACTTAATTCCAAAATTTAGTGCTTTATAAAATTAGTGCTTTATGTAATCTGAGTGATACCTGGTTGATCTTAGCTCTGCTCTTCTGAGTATACTGCAGTATCTTGAATATTAAATTATCTGTTATATATCATAACCCCCCTTACTAATAGTATTTAATGCATATGAAATGTGACTAGGATTAATTATTTTATTTTAAAGGATTTATACTAATAACTAAAATTTTGTGTGTTTGCTTGGTAGAAGTCCTTAATTATTGCATTTAGTGCTTGCTTTTCAGTGCTTTGCTCTGTTTTACCTAATTAACTCCTAAATGAGATGGTATGATTTGAAGAATATCCCCTTATGTCTGCAATATCTGTCTAAGCTTCCTAATAATAGCTACTTACACTCAATAAAGAGCCTATTTAATAGTTTGCAAATATGAGTGACTTCAGGTACCATCATTTTCACACCCAGTTACCTGGTTGGAGCAATTAGAATGTATCTGTTCTTAAAGTTACATCACCCAGATAAAGCATCGCACAGCCATGTCCGTGTGTGTGATTATACTTTTATAACAGAACCATTCCCTAGAAGTATGGCTTTCAAGCAGATCTAGTAGTGTTCAAATCAGTTTCAATTTATTTGTCAGTGTCATTGATCTTAGACCATGTAATGGAATATAGATTTATTTATTTAAAAAAAATAAATAAATAAAATTTTGTGCCATTGGCTACTTTATCATAGACTAATATTTTTTAAATACATTGAAAGATGTCCAAGAAAAATTTTTTTTTTTTTTGCTTTTGCTTTTTTTCTGAAGTAAGAGTCGGATATCCTTACTGGTAATGAACTGCAGCACCTTGCTTCATAAATAATGTCTCTGAAACTAATGAGACTACTAAAGGAATAAGAAGCTGCAAAGCTGGTAAGAAGATCAGAGTCTTACCCAAACTGTCTTCAGTTTTTCCAAGTCATTTTGACTAGCAACTATACTATAGTCTGCTTTATTTCGTTTGTATTTAATCAGAAACAAGCTTTGTAAACATCTACAGATATTTAGCATTGACTATGATCATTTACTTTCTAAAGTATGTTTCTGGATACTTTGGAATTTCACCTAGAAAACTCAACTTCATCTTGCAATGCTACAAGTAATTATTTTCAAGACAGGGCCTGATGAATCAGCAGGTTTCTCAGCTGCTCCACATGAACCAATATTTAAGGAACAAAAAAGCTACATCAGTCTGATTTCAAAAAGCTCCTTCATCTACTTAATAATCACATTATCTTTAAAAAATTTCTAGTAGCTGTTAACCAGTATGCGAATAAGTAGACTGACTTTGCATAAAAAATATTTTTCTGTTGCATGAGCATTTTCCTCTGATGGTTCACTTTGTTCAGCATTTGATCAAACTCCAAAAGTTAAGTCAGACTGAGACTAGTAAGTGAGTTTTGGCTGAGTGATAGGTGTGTTGTCCACCCCAAAATCTGTTTGAAGTCCCATAGGTTCTTTTCTTTGGATAAGCAGTGAAATAAGAAAGGATGGCAGCTTGAGATTTTTTGTTTTTATCCTAGTGGAACAGCTGATCTGCAAAACTGACAACACTGAATTTGCTTTCAAGTGGCAGGGGAGACAGGTAAGGGAAGTGTGTCTTTACTAGTAGAAGCAGGGTATAGGCCTGGGACAGAGATCATAGGGTAATTTGAACAGAGAGAACAATTTGGTAAAGATCAGCCTTCCAGCTGCAGCACTACATTTAGTATCTACAGGTTTATTCACTCTTCAGTCCACTTGTAGTTTGTCACATAGACTGTGTAAAGTCTCTACAAAAGCTCAACAGTAGGTAGATTAGCAGCTGGACCAGGGAGGAGAAGAGACGAGGTAGATCTTCAGTGGACAAGCAGAATGGGACAAGGAGAGAAAATGAGTGGACAGTCATAACAAGGAGATGTCAGATGAAGGGAAAGGCTGAGGTGTGACCGAGGGTAGGGAAGCTGGGACTTGAACAAGAGGGCTGGATGTAGGTGAGTGGTAAGGTGCTTTGTTTTTAATAGTTTCTTGAAAATATTTCTGAAATGAAACACAAACATGGAGACTTAAAGCTGTAGAGTGTCACCTCAAACTTGCATTGATTCATGAGGATATCTTCTTAGTTAAGTAGTCAAACATTACTTTCTCACTGAGACTCATGCTTCCCTGCTCTCTGGGGAGAGATGAAACAATGGTGTGTATCAAATGGGATGGAGGCTGCATAATGAATGAGGTGGATGACTGCAGAATGAAAAAGGAGGTGATCTCATGGTCAAGATTGTTTAATACTACCCTGGAGAAATTAGGGTTTTTTTCCTTTTCTCTGCAATAGAGTTGTGCTGAGACAAGTCATTTCCCAGGGTGGGGGGAAGAGGGGAGGGAGAGGGAAAGAGAGGAATGGGGAGAGAGAGACTTTTCACAGGTGGCTGCTTGATTCTGTGGAAACTCTTGAGATCCTGGGACCACACCTGCAAAATTGTTGAGCATCTGCAGCTGTTGCTGAAAATGCCAGTAGTTGTGCTTTGGACATAGAAGCTGTTATATACTACAAACTGTTGTGAGAAGTAAAAGCAGGGATATCTCAAATTGCTCACTGAAAATTGTCAAACTTTGACATAACTCTTCTTATATTTCCTTTGCTCACCTGTAAAATCAGGAAAATAGTATTCAGTCTTCTTGCTGGGAACAGCGTCTGTTCACTAGTGTTTGGGAGGCAATCATAGGCTGTGGTGGTGTGCAGTAGAAAAGTTCAGGAGGAAATTAATTATTTTATCTCTGCTACACAACTTGAACAGTTTGTAGTAACTATGTCATGAGCGTTGAATAAGAATAAAACAAAGTGTGGTGTAGCTGCTTGTTCAGGGTTCATCAGCATGGAAGGATTCATTTCACACTGAGCTGTGTTTGCAGCCTAAAAAAAAGGCTTTTGTCCACCAGACACAATTAGTAGCCCAGGATAGCTGTGTTGCGAAAAAGGGGGGGGGTGTTAATCCAGTCTTGTGTGGCTGGCACCGAATATGCGACAGACGCAGATCGGGAGGTAATTGTTTATTTACAGCAACATTTAAAGGTTCTTTAGGATTGCTGGTGATAAAAGTAAAAGCTACAGGTATAACTAAAGGTTTATTGCTGATAACAACACCACACACTATATATATATGCACACACACCCCAAAACAATAACAACTTGCCAGCGGTAGGCCCAGATGCCTGGCAAATAGACAAGCTCGTTGAACAGAAAACACAACAGACCAAGAAACAGTAAAGTCGTGACAAGAATCAAGGGTACACTCAGGGAAGTATAGACATTCTCCTGAGGAGAAAAATATTAATACACCTGGGGAGGAAAAGTCTGTCTCTCAGCGTTGGCTGAGGTAAATAATCTTACCCACATGGCGTCCCAAGTTGGGGGGATGGCGAAGGAGCGAATTCATCAATCCGTCCTGTCATCGGTATGGTTCCAAGTCGACCCTGTCCCAATTTTGAGGCCGCTATTGGGGTGATATTTATACTCGAGTTTTAAC